CTTTCACACTTTAGGCCCTATAACCTGTGTCATTTCGTAATTACTTCTGGAAATATGGATTCCTTTAGGTAGTTGGTACGACGCAAAACCTCTACCTGCACAGTAGACATGCATCGATGCCTCGAGCGGGATTCGAGTTCAAGGTCCTATTAACTGAGCGGTTAAGACTAGCAGGTTAGACATCGTGATTAATTGGCTCTGAAAATTGTGTTTCGTAACAAATTTCTTAAAATAAATTACAAACCCTGATTTTCAAACGTCACTACATCGAATAAATTACATACAATTTAAATTTGCCTTTAAATAATCTAAGGCCATCCACTGATATTATTTTATTTTAAAAATACCTGAAGCCATAATTTTACGATCTTCATGAGTTAGGGCATTACATAACATAACATAACCAATTCGTCTTTTGAGGGGTCGGCCCAGTCCCCAATAATTCAAAAGGAATTAGTCACTAATTACGAAGTCAAGTGCCATTATAACACAGTTAATTCCCTGAATAGAATAGAAAATTATTAATTTATTCTGAATTTAATATAATTTAATATATTTTAAATATTTCGATAGAGAATATCATTTAATATATTTTAAATATTTAAATGTTAATTATGATAATATTTTAATGTTTAATAGGAATTTTATTGTGATTAGACTGACAAAATTTAAACAAATATATATTTATTATCACAATATGACGCAACTTTATCATCTCAAGAATAAACTTACCTTCTTCATCAAAACATTTTCACAATCACCAACGCGTTTATTTAAATGATATTAATTGAAAAAATAAAGTTATATACAGAAGAAACTTTAAGTACAAATCCGAAAATAATACATGAATTGAATGATGAACTTGGAACCATGAGACGGATGGTTGTGTTGTGAGCGGGTATGACACCAACTGATGTTGAAATGCTTTGATGCGATGATGGTAAGAAAGGAGAGCACGCAGAAGAACTGAAGTATGAATGAAAATGAAGAACAAAGACAGACAAACAAAGGTCCACCATAAGTCGAGAAATTAGCTTTAACAAATTGTGTCGCTGAGATTGTATGTTAAACGAACAAAAAATTTTTATCTTACGTGTGTAAAAACTACTTTGCCAGCTTCTCGCAAGAGGGGCTAGAAATGAAAATCAGTTTATATTAATTTGTGCGACATAAACTGTAGGATAATATTAAAATTGTTCTTATAATGAATTGAATTTAATTTAATTTAATTATCTCTGTGCTGTATCTGTAATTGGCCATCAGGCTGTTGATACAGCACATTAATAATAAAGAATTGAATTATCATTATTATTATTAAAGAAATGAATTGAATTGAATTAGATGAATTGAATTGAATTATTATTATTATTATTATTATCTGCTTATTGATGTCAGTCAGCTCTTTAAACAATAATCATTCTTCTTTTTATTATTTATTTAGTATAATAATTTATTTTGTATGTTGTTTGCCCAAAATTGAACTGATTTTAATTTAATTTTTAATTTACTTATCCATAAAATTTAGCTTATTTGCTTATTAATTATTTTTCAATAAATTAATATTGTACTTTATATATTCAGTTCATTGTTTGTTTGCTTTAGTATTGTAAGATTTGTATTGTTGTTAGTGCTTGGCTGTTATTGGCCGTTTCGGCTGTTGTCAAGCACTTCAATAAATGAATTGAATTGAATAAATTTAGGTGTGATGATGTGAATAGTATTCATATGGCTCTGGATACAGTCAAGTGGTAGGCTGTTGTGAGCACGTTAATGAACTTTTGGAATTTTTTTAACTAACTGAGCGACCATTAGCTTTTTAATGGATATTGAAGATTTTGCATTAAAGAAAGAATTTTAGCGCATAAGTGGAACTATCATTATGGCGTTTGTGGCCTTGTAATTATTTATAGAAGCTCTGTACTTTAAGTTCGTCTTATGGATAAGATAGCATATTGAAACGGATAACAGCTGTTAATATATTAAGAGATCATACAGGCTGGCAAGTTGCCCTCCAGCCTCTCATTTTGGAGAAGCCAGTAGAAAAACTTGAATGGAAGACATCACTCGACAGAACTAGTCGTAGATGGAATTGTAGAAAGTTACAAATATGATGTGGTCTGATGCCCAGGATATGGTCCAATGCTGGACAGTTTTAAACATTAAATTAAACTCCTGATTTTCATAATAGGTTGAGAATTTCTTGACTCTCTGAGCGGCTATTCATTTCTCGAAGATTCTGCAGTTGTCCTCGGAAGCTCTAAATATTGTAGCGTAGGAGTGGCAAGGCAGAGCTTTTCGAAAATCGATGCATGCTTTAATGGCGTTGTGAAACTACATTTCACTGTTATTTTTATTCTACTTTGATATTATATTTTTGTTTCTTTTAAACTTTTTGTTAGGAACTCTCGTTTTTAGCGCGTGGTTTCGGAATGAATGATTAGGCCAGATCCGTGGAAGTGTCGACAGTAACTCGTGCGTGAAATCAGTACGCGGGGGGAGGCAGAAATTGTGTACAGCTTTGTTACAAACGAGAAACAATTACAGTGGATTCCGGTTAATTGGGACACAACGGGGGGCTAGAACACTTTGGCACAATTAGGAGACTGTTCCAATTATGCGAAGTTACACGTAGAGAGTTAAAATGTTTTGTACTTTAAAGATTTGTCCCAAATAAAAGTCTGCCCCGATTAACCGATGGACAAATTAACCGGAATATATTGTAATTCATTGTAGTTTATTCTTAACCGTTCTCATACTCAGAATTATAACCATTTTTATATGATATTTTTCGTAAAGACTGTCTTTATGATTAGCGTAAATTGAAAATTTAATTTTTATGAATGTATGAGTAACTGTAAAAGGAAGACTGAATAATTAACATATATTTTCTAACACTGAAAATTGTCTTCATAAATAAGGGAAGGCAAAATTTTATCCTCACACTGCCTTATGAAAAATGAGGCTGCTGCCATCTTCAGGGCGGAAGACAAAATTGTTAGGAAATGAGAGGTTTATTGAGGTTTAAAAGGAGGATCAGTAAATGGGAATGGCGAATCAGACCCTGAATGTGGAGACAGTCTGTTCCTCCACTGTCTGTATATTAAATATATTTGGTGAAAGTGAAAAATGAACTAATGAACCCAATACCTGGACACAAATTGCGGGTCTTCTAAATGTGGATCGAGCTAATTTGATGAAAAGAAGAAATGGATTTACAGTGAACGGAAATTCAACTTGATGTAAACTTGAAACTTCTTGAATATGATCTCGTAATTTCCTGACGTGAAAATTGAATTTATGGTGTTTAAATTTGACACAGAAGTGATAAATGACTGGAATTGCGAACTTTTATGTAACACTACACAAAGGAACATAAATTATTTTAAAACTTGTGACATCTTAAATCGAATCACACTGAAGTAATCTTCATTTATTAAATTCTTTAATTTTAAATTTCACTTAAATATGACGTGTTAAAAGGAAGCATAATGAAGCGTTGCATATTACGTGAACGTTACAGTGCAACAGTGAAAATATTGTTCGTGACCTTTAACGTTGCGACGCCTTGTAGTGTTGCAGGTGGAAACCATAAAACGTTTCGGCGGAACTTATCGCCTCCATCATCAGTTCCCTACCCTTCTTCGGCTCCACTCGGGGTAAGAGTTTGTCTTCTTTTCATGTTTTTTCCTGCGTTTCTTTGAAGGTTCGATCACCCAGAGAAGAAGTCTTACGTCATGACTAAGATTCACTGCTTCAGAAGCAATTCTCAGTAAAAATAAACAAAAGGACGTCTAATTCATAAGAGCAGAAAAACCAGGTTTTATTTTCTCAGGTTTTGTATCGATAGATGTAAAAGAATTGTTATTATTATTTATTATTATTATTTAGTGTTCTGTCTGACGACAGGTCCATATGAACAGGATCCTTCCATCCTTCTCTCGGACTGGGACCTGTTCATATACGTTCTTGGCAGATGATCCAGAAGTGGTTTGCCATTGCCTTCTTCTGTGTGTGAATGGAGTAATTGTTGGGATGCCACGGAGGAAAACTCCGTGTTGCCTAGACCACGGCCTTGCCCAACACAAGTTATAAATTCGGGCACCGCCGGGAATCGAACCCGAGCCCCCCAGGATTACAAGGCCAGCGTTATTGTTTTATAATTGAACTGATTAGAATTTAATTATAATATTACTTAGACATATTGTTTAATTCATTTACTGTGAATTATTATGCAATAAATGAATTGAATTATTATTATTATTAATATTTTATATTTATATATTTATTTTCATTTGTTTGTTTTTATATTTTAAATGATTTTATTATTATTATATTTTATCCTGTACTGTTGTCAGTGTTTGTCTGTTATTGGCCTTATTTGGCTGTTGTCAAACACTTAAATAAATGAATTGAATTATATTCCTACTTCCGTTATGATATGTGATATTCCTAGTATGGGGCTATCTTTTGCAGAGAATCTTTTAGCCGTTCAGTTATAATTCATGGCTCTAATGATTCCTAGTGTAACAAAACGTTTCACATTCCACATTAACTTATTTCTATATTTAAATAATTTATTTTAATTTAATTCATGCTAGTTAGCAAATTTTGAGTTCCTTATTTTTAATTAAAATGCTAGGCCTATTTGTCAGAACCTCTCCATCTGTGTGCATTCCTTGATTCCTCGTTATATTTTTCAAACTAATCTCGCATATCCCAACCAATCTGCACACTTTCGAATGTCACTTATTACATAACCGCATTTTTTCCTTACTTGGCATGTGCCTACACGTGAGAATGTTTTTGTTCAATTTCTTCACATAAAAGTGTACACAAATATTTTTCCTGAAGGCTACTCTTTATCAAATACAATTTTAGCAAACCTGCTACGTGAAATTATCCGCCATTGCGACAGTCCTAATTTCCCTTTAATTGTGTCTGTGTGAAGGCCTATAAAGTGATTACGTGGTAGGACCAAATTTCACACGAGATATAAATTGCTCTGAACTTAACAGTAGCACTACAGTTTATTGCAGGCATTCTTAGCAGTCGCAATGGCAACCAAGATTCAGGTAATCTGACTTCTAAGTCACATTCAAAGCACTAGTATTATATTGGGATTTCCCTTGTGGGGTCTCGGGTTCGATTCCCAGCGGTGCCCGCATTTATAACTTGTGTTGGGCAAGGCCGTGGTCTAGGCAACACGGAGTTTTCCTCCGTGGCATCCCAATAATTACTCCATTCACACACAGAAGAAGGCAATGGCAAACCACTTCTGGATCATCTGCCAAGAACGTACATGAACAGGTCCCAGTCCGAGAAAAGGATGGAAGGATCCTGTTCATATGGACCTGACCTGTCGTCACACAGAACACTAAATAAAATAAATAAAACTCATAACTTTTCACACATTCTATATTATTTTAATATTGTCATAAACGTCTTGTTTATTTTACTTCGAAATACTTCTATTTGCATTACATTTCAAAACACAATCAAAGTTATAAATCCAAGGTCAAAGTGACATTTCAAACACGACATTACCCTAAACTATGAACTTAAAGTCGTACTCTGTAGATATATAATCGAAATGTCGCCTTTATGATAGGGGTTCATGGTTTACCTGACGCACTCAGTCAAATGTTGTATTTGTGATGTGTAAGATGCATTTATAAACTTCTTATTTGATTATAAATATATCCTCTGACGGCAATACTGCACTTTTAAATAATCTTTTATCAGGACAGCTTTTTGAATATTTCAGAATTATACATATATATTATTAATGTGTCACGTGATGGAATTATATTGACAGTGTACACCGGAGGACTTATGAAATTATGTCCAATTTCCAATTTATCTGTCACTTGTAACATAATGTCACAATTACATCCGTGGTATCACTCCAAGAACTTACATATTATTTATATTTATTTTGTACAGTCTATACACAAACGTTTGAAGTTTATTGGTGTTGTAAAAATTATATAATATTAAAACATTTTGTTGTGTACACAACATCTCTTGGTATGTTCCTCGTTTACTATTTTTAATATATATTTATACGATTATTTATTTATTTCCTATGTCAATTCATACTCATTCCAAGAAAATAATTAAACATTAATTCCACAGATAAATATAACGTCTGACTACAATAAGCAACTTACCATGAAAATGGAAAGCTACAAACAGAACTACGGATCATTATAATACATTGCATCAAATATCTAATAGTTTTTAAAATATTTTAAATTGATAAAAACCTGAAGCCGACGGTATTACCCGTCGAAACATGTCGTTTTAATAAAAGCGCTAAAAAAATATAATGTAAAATCGTATTTACGATTAAGAGCGCTAATATAATATTTTACACAATAAAATGTTTTAATATTATATAATTTTTACAACACCAATAAACTTCAAACGTTTGTGTATAGACTGTACAAAATAAATATATTTAATCAAACACAAACATGACGCATATAAGATACAAATTACATATTATTGTTAACTAGTACGTTTCGGACGCAAGTGTCCATTTTTAGGCTCACGTTTGGTTCCACAAATAACCAAAATGGTTCCCTTCTGACAAGAACTCACTGAGTGACTAACCAGAATGAGCTAAAACCAGTCCACATTCTATTTCATTCGGGATTCATTTCCGTATTATCCTTTCATCTACATAAAAATCTTGCAAACTTGTGTACTTAAAAATGTGTTGTCGAGTAACCATAATAAGTAATTTAAACAACTGTCATAAAATCACACACACATAGAAGTGGCGTTTGTACAAATTATTGGTTGTAGTAAATAATTGATATAATATTATATTATTTATTATTATTTAGTGTTCTGTCTGACGACAGGTCCATATGAACAGGATCCTTCCATCCTTTTCTCGGACTGGGATCTGTTCATATACGTTCTTGGCAGATGATCCACAAGTGGTTTGCCATTGCCTTCTTCTGTGTGTGAATGGAGTAATTGTTGGGATGACACGGAGGAAAACTCCGTGTTGCCTAGACCACGGCCTTGCCCAACACAAGTTATAAGATATAATATTACGAAAGACCACAGACTATGTTTTGTCGACGTTGTTGATTTATTTATTGCAGATAATGATCATTGCGACATTGGCCGTTCTTGCCCTCTTGCAGTCAGTAGGAGCACAAGGACATTCCTTCACGCAACTCAGTAAGTTTCTCAGTCGGAGAGTGCAGTCGACCCGAACGATTTATTTCGATAAAATTCGATTTAATCTTTTTTTAAATTGTTTTCACATTTCGTTAACAAATTAAGAAGAACCATGATTACTATTTTTCGTAAGAGATATCATTAGGAGGGTTACATTGACATCGAAACAAACGTATGTAAATGAAGTGTAAGACATAATGTAAATGGGGAGATTACAATAAAATTAATTCGAAAGGAATAAGGTACGCTGATGTCGAGTAAAATGAACTTGATAAGAAAAATACCTAGTGACATAATTTTGTGGACATGGTAATTAACACTCGAGTTCCATCAAAGGCGTGATATTTCTAAAGCAGCTGAGAGATTATAAGCTCGTAAAAATGGATTCTGGTCACTAGAATTAGCTTTCGATCATAACTGTTTCTGATAAATATGAAAATTCAGTTTTATTCTTTATTGTCAGTGTATCATTTCAACAGACAGGAGGCCAATTTCAGATAAAACACAGGAGGATTACAAAAATAAATATTACAAAATAACAACATAACAATAATAACACATATTTCGTCAATATTACGTAGAAGAGGTGATAAAGGAGAAAATTTATATTAAATTTATTTGTAATTCAATTCTTAATTAATAAGTAATACGTGGATAGTACCAAAGTTATTATAGAATATGTTGAAGGGAAAATATTTCTGTTTCAAATATATCAAAGTCCCTGCAGAAGGACATTTTTTGAACTAAAATTCTGCGACTGAACATAGAAAAGTCTCTCAGATTCCGAGCAAGAATTCGGAGACCGATATTTCCAGAAGAGAAGATCAGATTTTAAAAACCGCGGTAAACTTGTATAATGAACTGTGCATCACTGCGATATGTATTTTTACATGAGGTTTGGATTTTTAAATACTGCAAAGCGTTAGAATAGCTGTAATGGAAACTTTGTTAGCATTTTCTGTTCTGAAGCTTTCACGGCGACTAAGTATAATAAATTCTTCTCTGGTTACCAGCCGTGTAAGGTGGCTTAATGAAGAAACCATTGGCATTAGTAGTCGTAACAGAATTCCAAACGACAGAGGCTTACTCGTGCATTGATCTAAGGTTACAAATAACACATACAGACAGTCGAGAGAAGACAACGAAAAGGTTAACGCGCGAACAAGACCCAACAATTTAATACACTGTAAAAACACGTAGTCAACACGGTTGTGAAATCGGAGCTTAGAGTCGATAAATATTCCCAGGTCTTTAATAGTGTCTGTACGTGTTATAGAGGACTGAAAAAGTTTATAATCGAAGGTCAAAGTAGTGGTTTTCCTGGAGAAGGAAATTACTGTATAAGATTTGAGGTTTTCACAGCGGTAAGTGTGAAGATTTCTGTCTTCTAGGTTGTTGCGCTGTGTAGACTGGTCGATGTCCATCGACCAGTCTACACAGCGCAACAACCCAGAAGACAGAAATCTTTATACTCTGATGACGGAAGCAGTATGACCTCTGAAACGTTGGTTAACATCGACCAGACTACACAGCGCAACAACCCAGAAGACAGAAATCTTCATACTCAGATGACGGAGGCAGTATGACCTCCGAAACGTTGGTTAACATCGACCAGACTACACAGCGCAACAACCCAGAAGACAGAAATCTTCGAAATTACTAATATTGAGTGTTATGAAGTTAGCAGTGGACCAACCTTGTGCGGAGTGAATATTAGTTTGAAGTTGATTGCAGTCTTTAGGAAATTTATTGATATGGAAGAGTTTGATATCATCAGTAAAAGGAAGGCATCAGGAATGATTAATTACATTGCATATGTCGTCAGTGAATGAGTTGAAAAGATGGGGTTCCCTAACTAGATTCCTGTGTGACACCAGACAGCACTACAAAAGGCCATGAAGGAATTCCAGAAACCTGAGACTGTCTGTCGGTTAAGTAACCACAAAGTTCAAAAGCACGAAGCTTTTAATCATCGTCGTAAAATAGCCTAGTACATGTTGAAAGCTGGGCGTAGCTACTTAAAAGAAATTCCCAGTCTTTTATGAAACTAAACGATCATTATCATGTCCATTGACACTGGTTCTTATCCTGAGCCAGAAGAATCCTATCTGGATCCCTTCATTTTATTTCCGTAAGAAACATTTTAATATTATTCTCCCATCTACGTCTAGATATTTCGAGTGTTCTCTTCCATTGAGGATTACAACAGAAATTCTGTATGCATTTCTCTTGTCAGCATAATTTGTTACTTGTCTCACCTACAAAGGATTTTTTGTTGCTGTTAAATTGAGTGACGAGCTGAAAATATTTGTCATCGCTGTCAGGTAACGGTTTGGGCTTCAAGTACAACTACGGAATCCAACACGACTACCACGGACATGCCTACGGCTCCAGTTACCCCAACGGCTATGGCGGATTTGGTGCTCCAGCTGCTGGAATTTCCGGAGGCTATGCACGAGAATACACGGGCGGGTTTGCTGGAGGATACTAATTCAACTTGTCCTTTGCTGTTTTGTGGTCCTTTGATTTGTTATGTGATTGTATAGCTGTATGATAATTAAATATGATTTGAACCTTGAAATATGTTATCTATTTATTTATTTATTTTATTTAGTGTTCTGTCTGACGACAGGTCCATATGAACAGGATCCTTCCATCCTTTTCTCGGACTGGGACCTGTTCATATACGTTCTTGGCAGATGATCCAGAAGTGGTTTGCCATTGCCTTCTTCTGTGTGTGAATGGAGTCATTGTTGGGATGCCACGGAGGAAAACTCCGTGTTGCCTAGACCACGGCCTTGCCCAACACAAGTTATAAATTCGGGCACCGCCGGGAATCGAACCCGAGACCCCAGGATTACAAGGCCAGCGTTCTAATCGCTAGACCACCGTGGCGGGGTTGTTATCTATTTATAGACAAATTTTAAAAATAAAATATTTCCTTGATATTAAGACTCCATCGATTGAAGAAGGAGCCCTTCATTTACTAACATTTCTTTCAGATTGAAGAACGCTGTATAAATTTTTAGACGCCATAAAATAACACGCCCCGATTTAAGATATTTTAAAAGTGTCCACAAACTTGTCGTAAATGTTTAGGAAAATACTTAACACACGAGATCTCCTTCGAGGTGTTATTATGAAATGGTTGTGTGAGCTTTACAATACCAGGTAAAGTTAAGAGCAATTTACAAAGGTAATTGACGTTTTGGCCCTATAATATGTGCTTTCACGTTTGGTTATGACAACGATTTAGACAGAAAATTAAATAGATTCCTGTGGAACTAGCGGGAAAACATATCGAAGTTGACCACGAAGAAAATGGAAAGATCATTTTGAAGACGTAATAGACATTAGTGTCTAATTCATGATGATAATGATGATTATGTGCTTTCCTAAACAGCCCGAAAAATACAATGCCAAAAGTCAGTAATTTTTTCCTACCTTCTCGGGCTATTTCAGTAGAGTATTCTCAATTTATTTTGTAAAAATAGTTACGTCTATAAGCAACACTGATTCATTTTGATGTCTTCAGACCATGACGAAAGCTTACTAGGGCTTCGAAAGCTCCATCGAACGCTTTGTTTATAGGAAGCTGGTGTTATTTAAGGCTTTAAATACAGACTACACCGACGTATTAATATGTTATTCCTCGATACTAACTTCATACTAGATTTTCAGTAATATATTTAAAAATTTTAATCTGGCTCAGACTTCGGAGCTAGAAATACCAAGGAAATCTATTTATTTTTTTACAAAGTCTTTATTTACGATCCACAAGTCCTTGGTGAACGGGAAAAACACATAAGATCAAAATGAAAATGTACAAAGTAAAAAGTCCGGGTTCGATTACTGGCTATCCGAGCTGTTGATTTACAAGGTTACCTCCGTTTCTCCAAAATGGTTTGTCGCCACTAAAAGGGCCGAATTACATTTTTCAATGTCCTTATCTACTCAGGATTCTTTATCATCTTCCAACTCAAATTCTGCATTTGATACAGAGTCATTATGTGGCCAATCAATACTTAGACAGAATGATTTCGAGATAAGAACGGACAAGCTTCTCTATTCTAAAAATTTGTATAAGGAATTAAGGGCGACGTAATTATGTCTGAATAACTTCTTTAAGGCCGTCTTCTTGAGAAGATGACATTCAGTCGCAAATCAAGAAATCCCGAGCCTTTCATAAAACTCGAAGGTTCATTTTAGTGTTTGTATGAGTCCCTATTTTAAGAGTTATATATCCAGTTTACAAATTTACACTTTGTTTCTTTAAAGTTCACTTTTAATAGGTTGTCAAGTGGACTATTCCCTTTATGTTTTCCGACTAAAATTCTATACGAAATCATTTCTCCCATGCGTGTAACAAATCCCGCCCATTTTATCTTCCTTGATTTAATAACCCTAATATTTATATATCAAGTAGAACGTTTAATGAAACTACTCGTTGTTCATTCTTCTATATCTTGTAGTTACTTTATATTTCTTAAGTCTAAATATTTTCGTGTGTACGATGTTTTCAAACACCCTGTAGAAAAGAGACGTCAAATATTGATTCGACCTTCGACACTGTAAACCAATGCGTTTTTTTTTAAAAGAGTTAGCCTAGGAAAATGATTATAATTCCTTGTAACAACTGGAAGCTGATACTTAGTACGTACTTCAGTTTCTCTTTGGTCGAACCGAAATTCTTCTCGCTTAAGTTAACAAGATATAAGAACGAACTCTATCTGATTTCTATTTGCCTTGTTTATTTCTTGTAACTGTTTTTTTATTATTATTTTTCGAAATCCGCAAGAAGGTTGGCGCATTACTTCTTCGAAGAAATTTCTTCTTCAATTTTTTGTGTTTTCTCGACTGCACTCAGTTTTATTCCATTTTTGTTAAATCGATGTTTTATATATCCTAGAAACTATATTTGGGAGTAGAATATATATGAGCCATGGTAGAGGCGACACGCTGTCAGTGTCCAGGTCTGAGGCTAGCAGTTCGCAGATCATGAAGTTCGCTGTAAGTTGAGTGTTTTGTTGTCAAGAAACCTTGCATCTTCTGTGACAGTTTCTTAAAAGATTCCTATTTCACTGTGTACCTTAATACAAGAAAATATTGATCCCTATTTGACTGTGTACCTTAATACAAGAAAATATTAAAACCTTGCGTACCGTATAGTGTATTGTAATATAAAATGTGCACATTTTATAAGAATATATGTACATAAATAATATTTGTGTTTTGATATAAGAACACAAATTTAGTGTTACAAAAATTAAAATTCCATATTAACTCCTGCACAAATTAAATCGTCACATTATGCTTAATGATGGCATAGATAGCCATGAATACGAAATAATAAATTCTAGTTTAAGTGGAATTCTTTACTTTTACGTATTTATATTAGTTTACAGAAATTCTATTGTCATTTGCCTGACAAATGAAGAATAGCCAATTAGACGCAAAGAATGAAAAGTAGACAAGATATAATGAAGTATAAATAATACCGAAAGAGACTTTAAAATACAAATAACAGGGAAAGTTGAAGCAATTATACAAAACTAAATTTAAACAATCTGGACAAAAGAAAGTTTGTACATTAATTAGTGACCAATCGAATGCTAGTTAACAATTATAATTGATATTTATAAGATATTGTAGGTGCGTCATATTGTGATTTTATTTAAAAATAGTATTAAAATATATTAAAATTGTCCGTCAATCACAATAAAGTAATATAAGATAATTAGATGGTTAAAATATTATCTTTTGTTCCGCATCGAGTACTCGATTTACATATGGAACATTCTCGACATGTTTCGGCTTTTATAGAGTCGTCATCAGGTGTATGTTATAAACTCTTAATTCAATTACTAATTTTTTATTTTCTTATCATTTCTTCGTTTTTAACATTGTATCAATATTTGTTGTTGTATTATATATCATTGATACAATCGTATTGTCGGAGTGATGTTAATGCTGCGTATATTGGTCGGAGAAGTAATATCGAAGTTGTAAGAGGAGAGATCAGAAGTACATCGTATCGGAGCGAGGTTGGTTATAAACTTTATGTTTTTAACTTTCTGTAATTCCCTTTAGAATAATAAGTTTGTTATGTACAGAAAACTTATATAAATCTGTAATTCAGTGCTGGAACCATGAGCACAGGCTCTAAGTGCCCGATCATTCATATAATTTCCGTATGTTAATTTCTGTATGATTATTTGAACAGACTATCCTCGTCGCCCTTGCATCTGCCGGAGCTGTTACAGTTCATGAGTCGGAGAATCCTAACCAGGGCGACACGGATTCAGTTGCCCAGGCGACGGGTTTCGATGGTTTTGGAGGTTTTGGCGGCTTCCAAGGCTTCCATAAATTCAACGGCTTGATGAGTAATGCCTTTGGAGACCTGGATGGTCAGTTCGATTCCACCGGATTCAATAAGGGGTTCTCAGCATCGTCAGAGAATCGAAAATTTGACACAGGTTGGTTATGTATGTTTCATTTTGGACACAAAGAAACGTATATCCCAATATTTTTGAAAGTTTTCGTGTCATATATACATTTTTAGGCAGTTCCAAATATTTTTTTGGTTCCTTTGTCGTTTATACTAAGGCCCATCTGCTGTACTTCATTGTTTAACTTAACAAATGCCTCTTTGACAACTCTTTCTGATCTAATAATAATATCTAAATCATCAGCGTAAGCTAAGACCTGCACTGATTTGTGGTTTATAATATATACCTCGTATTTCTATACCAGAACATCTCTGATCGCCTTTTCCAATGCAATGTTAAACAGGAGATATGCTATCGCATTTTCTAGTAATAATCTCCTTTGTGTGAGAAATGGTTCTACATTTCACTCTTATTAAGGTTTTTCCTTTTAAATTAAACTTAGTTTGTATTATGAGATGGTAAAGTTGCGTCATATTGTGATATAATGAATATATATTTTAAATCTTGTCCGTCTAATCACAATAAATTCTTATTAAATATTAAAATATTACAATAATTAACATTTTAAAATATTTAAAATATATCAAATGATGTTCTTTATCGAAATATTCGATTTACATTAGAATTATTTATCGTTTTGAAGCTTTTTATAATTATATACACCTGAGGATGGTTCTTTTAGGAACTGAAACATGTCGTGAAACATGAAAAAATGATGGTCTAATGTAAATCGAATATTTCGATAAAGAACATCATTTAATATTTTAAATGTTAATTATTGTAATATTTTAATATTTAATAAGAATTATTGTGATTAGACGGACAATGTATAGTATGTTTCAGAAAACTTTATACGTAATGTTTAGCAATGTGAAATCTCCATATTTCTGGCATTCTGGAAGGGTCACAATTTTGTGTATAGGCCAAATTATACCTTTATCCCATTCCTGAGGAATTGTAGGAGATTTGGTGGATTACATTGTCGTAATAGTCCGGATCGTTAAGATAAACATCTCAGTGCTTTCCTCGGGTATCAAATTCTGGCAAACCAGTACATGGCCTGTTATTTTATTGACGTGGGGAGATGAGAAATATACGAGGATAGGCAAAATCAAAGTTAAATGAAGCAATTACGTGGGTCATTCAGGCATATTTCGGAGGATATTATTAAAATTGATTAAGACAGAACGTATAATGGTGAAATGGGAGGAATTGAATCATGATAGGGTTCAGTGGAGGTTTTCTGTGAAACAGCAATGAGCCTTCGAGTTCCATAACAGGTAGGAAAAATTTTGATCAGGTGAGTGACTGTCAGTTTCGGAAGAGGGGATATAATTTGTGCAGGTAATCTGATTTATCGACGTTTCAGAGGCGAGGAAAACAATGCCCCTACCCTTCCAGTTGCGGTAAACTTGGTAGTGACTCTGTGTACTACCTGCTCTAAAAACATTAAATTGGCAATGGAATGTATTTCACTGTTAAATAAACTTATACTACAAACACTTTTCACTGTTCTGTAAACACTGTATAAACAGGACTCCTTACACAAAAGGTGGACAACAGAACAACGTGTTCGCACCACACAACGCGTGTTGTTGCAAATGATTCGAACCAATGTACACTGAACGGTCAGAATCGTAGTCAGTTAATCCATCACCATTCCAAGAGGCAATCGTAACCCTGAGACTTCCAAAATGTAGATAAACACACGCTTTAAAAATAATATTACTAAGCATATTACTGACAATAACGGTCAATACCTTTATTTAATCCCTAACCGAACCAAAGGGACCTATAAAATGGCACGTTATTTTTCTATAATATACAAATTGACTATTTGAATTAAAACTTGATTAGATTTGCTATAAAATGACACCTCAACCGATTCTGTAACCCTTCTGAATAAATTTCTATACACTTTCAAATTTGTAAAGGCCTTTTAGAATCACCCTGTATTTTAAACAATGCAAGTACTGTGTGTGTGTAAAATATTCCGATAACTGTCCTCTCCACTCCACTGACTGATCCTTCTGTCGATGTATCACTGTATACTTCTCCTCTCAAACATCGTGGCATCTTTTGTTAAAATTTCAGTCTTCAGGTGGTAAGAAAAAGGCCTTCAACCTTAATTTTGTGCTCCAGGATATGGACCGCACTTTCTAGAGGAACTGGATCACGATTCGTTTGGTTCAAGTCTCGACTCCTCTAATCAGCAAAAGCAGGGGTATCCTCCTACACCCGCAGTACAGCGGCTCACCAAGCAAGGTCCTCTTCACAGTAGCGTTCCTCAGTACCGCGAACCTCTGCAGACACCGAACCACGGCTTGTACTCGCAGGTCGGACACATGCGAGCTGGGAAGAAGTCTTACCCAACTACACAACACAAACAACCGCTCAGCCCCTACAACGTGCATCCTTATGCGGGTCACTTCACTGAGGCCATTCCGAGAGGACAGGTGACACTGCCGGTCGCGTCGGCGTACGGAGGCGTGGCCGCTGGTAATCCGCTATCAAGATCTGCGAAATACTCCTCTAAGTCAGTCCAACGTTCTCCTTCTGTAAGAGAGAAGACAGTCACTTTGAAATACTTCGCAGAGAAATACAAACCCGATGACGGATTTTCTTTTGGAGCAGATAAATTTAATTGAAAACTTCTCTTTTTTATAATTATAAATTTTTTACACAAAAACAGAGAATAACGCGAATTTCACAAAAAATTAATAATAAGGCTACAAAAATTAATTAACATAAAGTTACAACGAAAAAGCAACTGAGATAAAAGTGGATCTGATGACATCTGAGTAATTAACACTGTCTCTTACTTACAGGCTTACGTGCTTAAAGTCTTAATCTGCAGGTGGACTATACTGACTGATGTTATTTTTAATTTTCTCAGTCTTTAAACAAAATATTTCAGTGGTGCGTTTCAATAAATAAAGAAAACTTCCTTCCAAAATATCAAATTTAAAAGCCATAATACATCGCCCGATTCAATGGAGATAGACAGTTCTTAGAAGTGTTCTTAAATGAACCAAATACAAATTAAAAGTCCAACTGATGTAAAATAAAGACAATTCGCTGTGTATTTTGATATACCAAAGCTACTTCTGTACCGAAACATGACGTCATGGCGTTGTATATAAGTTTGGTGAAAGGTTTTACTTAATTAGTGTTTTCACAGATGTTTAATTCCCTTAGAAATTTGAATGTTCGTAACGTTATTACTGTAACCTAGTTGATAGTTTTTTATACATACAAATATCATATAACATGTAAATAAATATATATTGCAACCTATAACCAACTAGAATTATAATAGTAATGCAGTTCCTATATTTTTTACTAGTGATTTGGAAGTAATATTGCAACATGATCTCATATGTGTTTTAGGTTTCCAGTCAGTACAAATATCTTAAAACTATATTTCAGAGATGTGTGTAGAAAATGGAATAATTTTCTTCATATATTTTAAGGGCGAGCAAGTTATCAGAGTTATAAAACCGTACTTATTATTAAGCGAAAAGTTAAAATCTGTTTATCAGTACTTATGCCAATTTTATTTGTAATAAACAGTACTACCTTCAGATAATATGACTACCGTCACGTGGTGGGTGTTTAAAATTTTATATTTAATAAAATATATCGAAACAAATGCAAGTAAATTAGAAAAAAAGATTACATGTCTTAATTTATGAATAGCTGTACAAACATTTTTAAATGTCGTTGGTCTCTCAAACAAATGAAGTAAGAATGTGGATTAACTGTCAACTGTGAACTAATATTAACGAGACTATAAAAATACTATATCTATCTACTTGTTGAATAAGTTTCGTATAATTGAAGTGTAAGACAACAATAGATTAATACGTATAAAAATTTAAAATTTAATTGAGAATCCAAGTATTTAACATGCTTCTTAGAGATTTTACAATTATAATGCTGTGACCAACATCGACAGAATGAGAATTAAAAACAAATTCTAACGAAGGCATAAGTATCGGTTATTTAAAATTTATTTTATTTGTGTTAATTTTTTGGTTAATGACGTCATGTATTCTTGAAGATGACTACCGACGTTTCGGAGAAACATGTTGCCTTCATCTTCAAAACACCGCTGATAGGATATTGATGCTTTCTATTCTACTAAAATAAGACCGCGGATATGCGAAGACGCGGATAAGGAAAGCGTGCATAACAGAATTATCAAGATCACTATTAAATTCAATGGGAAGAATTTAGAGGATTTTGGGAGTTATAGGAAAGGACGTGTCTCTTAAAGTAATGAATCGTGACCACAGTTTAAACTTAAAAGTTATGCGCCATTTTATCAAAAGAATTGCTGTGGATAACGAGCCATGCTGGTGTAACCATTAGATCTTCAGAATACAGATATTATAAATGTAATAACATTGCCGAAGTCCTTCATCGAAGAATGTGTGTTCCTCCCTAAGTAACTTAAAGGTAACTTGTAACGTTAAGCTGGTAAGTCAGTTCATTAAATTTTTTTCACTGGTGCTGATTCATCACGTAAAGAAAACGTTTTCTGTAGTGATACCACAGAATTTCCACTTCTATGGCGCTCTTTCAAGATTAACAATTTTTTGTTGATCGTAAGCCTCCATCAAGTTATTCGAGAATAAAATGCTTTCAATGGCATTTACTCAGAATGTCATAACGTTTATGGAAACTCACTTCTATGGCGCTCGTTCATGATTAAAAATTTTTTGTTGATCGTAAGCCTCCATCAAGTTATTCGAGAATAAAATGCTTTCAATGGCATTTACTCAGAATGTCATAACGTTTATGGAAACCGATGATTCATTATCGTAGGGCTCTTAGAATACTTTCAAGCAGCTGAAATCAGTAACACATTATTCAAATACCCACCTTAACCCTTTGAAGCCGACGCTCGTCTAAATATTACTTAATAAATCAGTCCGTACCGCGAAGAAAACACAGCACTTCACCATTAAAAATGACGACTGGTTGACGGTGTTTAAGGAAATAATCCCTTTTTACACTAAGAACAATACGAAACCCGTAGAAAACAAAACGTAGAGTTATTAACTGTGTGAAACAGGTGGTATATATAATTACCACTGGGTCTTAAAAGGTTAACATATTATCTCCCTATTTCCGACTGTCTCAAAAATATTCTTCTTTCACAATTTTTTAACAAAATTTTTTATGCAATTTTATTATTTTCCATTTGTCTCGTGTTTCTCAATAATAATAATTGAAAAGAGGATAAATTATGAGAATTCTCATTACGTCAGCGTCTACTCGCCTGTTAATATATGCCTCCTCCGGAACACCGTTCTGAAACAAGCTCAATCTAAGTTTCTTCGACAGAGTACGAGATTAAATTTCAATAACCAACCATACGAAAAAAATAATAACATATAATATTATAAAATTCTTGGTGCGAAGCGTTGATTTTCGACTCAATATCGACGTAGCTGAGGATTTTATAACATTGATACGCCGTTAAAGTTTTAAATCTATCAAGTCTTATCATACTTTTGAAAGTTATTCTTAAAAATATTAATATTTTAACAAGTTCTCTAATATAACGACAGACGACATTTGGAAAAAAAGTTTCTTATAACATCGATTCCAGTGACTGAGCTAAATGGGGTTTTGTTCACTAAAAGTAGCAGAAAGTTTAAAAAAATTTGATTTTTAGTAACTAATCTGTCGATAAACAACAGGTAACAGCTTGTACCCAACTTTGTGCGACAGTTCATAAAAAGTAGGAGACTGGTACAGTCGATTGTTTGTTAATTAGAAAGTTTATTCTTCTTAAGTGGATATTGATGTCGATTCTCTACCAAAAAAACTTGGGGTTATTGTCCATTCTATCTTTTTGCATTAAACGTTAGATTAAATAACATATTTTAAATCCAGTATTAAGACTCATTCATCAGAAGCTGTTAGACACTCAGCTGGACCACTTTACAAAGCCTGAAATTTCATTGCCGTGCATACAAAAGCCAGCCGATAACCTTTATCCTGGGCCACTTTAATTCAGTCTCCAGCCGATGAACTTTATCCTGGGCCACTTTAATTCAGTCCACACTTCTATAACATTCCTTCAATACCCACTTTAATATTATCAAAACTCTACGCCTAGGTCAAGGGAGGCTATGCTACAGACAGGGCTACAAATCAGACAACGGTAATCTTAATTCTCGTTGCCTTGACAACCGACTTCGAGATAGATGTGTTCTGAAATGTAGCATCACATGGCCTGGTATATACTCACCACTCTTCAGGCGAATTTATCAGGCCGATGACGTAGGTAATAAGATCCTCCGAAACGTCTTTCGATATCTGCCTGGTACAGATTGCTGCATAGCAGAAAATAACAATCTTCATACTCGTTGTCGTAAAAATATCAAATATCAACGAATAAGAAAAACTCAGCGGTACGTTTGTTATGTTATTTAACGACGTTCTACTGTACATACCTACGATATTATGTTGAAAGAGATTCAAGTGTTATTATGGGAAGGGAATTGAAAATGAGGGAGGATTAAGTTCATAATTGCATTTTCGGAATAAATGACCTGGCAAAATACAATTGACCATCCCCGGTCGTGTTTGTTAGAGCTGGTCAGTGTGTTGTTGATAACAAAATATATGCCTATTACGAACGAGGCGCTTACCTGTATTTATTATGTAACCTATGGTGTGCAATGTATTTGCCTTCTTGAGAGCTCTAATTTTAAAATTTAAATTTTTGGAAATTTTAATTTACCGCTTTAGATAAAACAGTAAGTTCAAATAAGTAAAGAATTTTAATTATATAAAGTACGAAATTTCTTCACATTTATTAATTCAAAAAATATAGCACTGCCTATTATGTTTTCACCATTCGTAACTGACTATTTTACGACAGGAACACGGACAGAAATTCCTTCAATAATAATAATAATAATAACAACAACAACAAGACCACCAGATTTCGATACACACTGATCATAAAAGCCACCGGATTTCGATACACACTGATCATAAAAGCAATATACGAAAATATTTGCTGTTAGAATTTTATTATATTTTGAAAACTTGAAAATACATGTGTTATTAAGAAATAAAAGCTATTTCCTTTCTTAATTTTATAACCTCAGTGATGCAGCTATGATAAGTTAAACTAGAGTCCAAATAACGAGAAAATCCTTAATAGTTTTAGTACAATTAAAAGATTATTATTTTTTTTTGTATTTACAAATATTTCATAATTTTTTTATTATTATTAGTATGTATTATCAGTGTTTGCCTGTTATAGGCTTCTCGCTGCTGGCAAATACTTAATTAAATTAATTAAATTGAATTGTTATTACTGGAATATAAAGACAGACAAAGTCTATTGATTTAAAATGTTATGACTTCATTTAAAAATCTCTTTCGCCTTTCTCAAACAGAAATTCGACTTTGCTTTGTTCTTGATCGCACCAACCACATTGACAAATATTACAATATTTTCAAGAAATTGTTTATGGAGTTAAAAAATATAGGCACAATTATTTAAGAAATACTCTCTTCAAGGTCTGTTAGTAACTACTTTTCCTCTGCGTTGTTTTTCCCTGTTTTCACGAGTAAAATTGTCAGTCTGTTAAAAGCTGAAGATCAGCTGTTCCCTTTTAAATGAACTGAACCATATTCTCTTCTCATTAGTGTTAATTATATACTGTAATTAGACACTGTTATGTAACAAGTCATAATTACTATGAAATTATGTCATAATAGTGTGGGATCGATTTAATCTGTTTATCAATATAACATCTCCATAAATACCCCTGTATTTTATCTAATCTCCACGCAGGCTGACACCACCTCATAATAATCTGACTATAATCTACAAGTACGTCTAATCTCTCATTGATTCTTGCTTGTCTCGACATAATTAGCTCTGTTGTAGGCAGCCGGGTTGTTGTATAATCCACCTTGGTAATATCCTTGATTGTAGAATCTTTCATTGTAAGCAGGATACTTTCCAGG